TTGTTTTGCAATACAAAAATCAGACTGAAATATAAAGTGTTTTCTCTTTTTCTGTGTCCAAACTGGAAGAATTTGAGTTTACTTTTCTATTTGGATTTTTTTTTAATTAAATTAAAACAGAAACAAATTACTTATTATTTTTCTCCTTATTTTCCAGTGCCGTATGGTTTCATGCATTTCACCAGAGCTTTAAATTTGACTGAGTGTAGGGATCAGAAGTGTGAGAGGAAGAGGATTTGTAATCTTATGGCTCAGGGGTTCGTCCTACGGCTGGTCTCCAACCATCTCCAGCATCCTTCTTTGAGGTAGATACTGTGAGGAAAAGAAGTATTTGAACACCCTGCTATTTTGAAAGTTCTCCCACTTAGAAATCATGGAGAGGTCTGACATTTTTATCATAGGTGCATTTCCACTGTGAGAGACATTATCTAAAAATAAAAACATCCAAAAATCACATTTTATGATTTTTAAAATTTCGTATTTGTATGATACAGCTGCAAATAAGTATTTTAACTAAAATATATATTTTTTTAAAGTCATACATATTGATTTCTGAATTATTTTTTTTTATATTATGTCCTTTACAGTGGACATGCACCTATGATGACAATTTCAGACCCCTCCATTATTTTAAGTGAGAGTATTTGCAAAATAGCAGGGTGTTCAAATACTTATTTTCCTAACTGTACATCCACACATTGTTGCCTTTCCTTATTCTGGTGATACTTATAAAATGGCTTCACCCCAGGGCTGCTGTGGCTATAATGTGGCTTACCACCATCAGCGTGCGACAGTAGGTGAAACACTTGTAGTGTGAAGCGATTTGTGAGTTCTTGCTCTAGATAAAGTGTTATATTGCACAAGCCAGACCATTTAATTATCTTAATTTTAAAATCTCCTGAACGTCCTCGGTTTCCCCCACTTCTGACGTCTGTGTTGAGATTTCTGAGGATGACTGGCCTTGTTCTGTTATGTCTAAAATGATAAATGAGTGACGCTCTAAAGTTTGTTTTTTATTCTGGGCTAAAGCAACAAACTTTTCTGTTTTTAATGAGGTGGCTGTATGTGTGACCGGAAGGTGGCGCTGTGGAGCCGTCTGCTTATCATAAACAACAAAAACAGATTCAATCAACTTTATTTTACCCAGTTACTGTTAACAACACATCACCCCATGTTACTGCTGAACGATCACAGTTGGTTTTTTAGTCACATGAATTCAACAGAAACAGAAAAGGACCTTTTCCCCTCATCTCCATTTTAATCACTTTGGTTGTGAGGCTTAATTTTGGCTGAATTTAGAAAGTTAAAAGCTCTTTAATCTGATAAGATACAGTTTAAAATCAAACCAAAGACATTTTTTCTTCTTTTGCCTTCACCGATCAAAAGATTCTTTAAAAAGAACACAAAAAACTGCATTTTGTCACCTGTTAGTGCTTTTCCAGACCAACACATTCAGTTACAGTATGACCTTCGCCTTGACCCAAGGAACAACTCCTCTAAAAAACACCCACGGTCTAACATCAAATTAGTCACACCACAATTCATATGACGAGATTACAGAAACCGCCATGAAAGAGGAAGAGCTGAGGAGGTACTGGATCAATGCTCATTTAGGAATGCAAACAGCTCTTTTAAATGGAGAACGACTTTACTGGACGCCTGGACCTCAGAAATATAGCTAAAGGTTCATTTCATATTGCATTTTTTAATGTCTGAAATCCCTGATTTTAAACATGTTTAATGGTAAATGTTCTATAAGCATTCCTCCCAGATGAAAACAATTATAGAGGCTGTTATCTGAATACAATAGAAATAAAATAACAAAAAAATCAGATTAAAGCTGCTTGACATGACTGATCGCCGGGTTTAACTTCAGATATACTGTGAGCTCGTTTCTGTTAAGTTGGTGTTTTTATCTTTTGCTGGGAATCAGAGACATAACATGAAACTGGAGGCTGTAGCTACAGATGTTGCTGTGAGGTTTTTTGTTTTGTTTTTAACATTCCTCAGACTCAGCAGGATAAAATGTGTCACTGAAGTGTTTAAAAAGTGCACAAAGTCACAACGTTTGGATATCATTTTGTCACAGTTTATCCCTCATATTCATTTCTTTTTGCTCCATCTTTATTCTGTGAAACTACTTTAAAACCTCAAAACTGTAAAACAAAAAAAACCCCAAATGCAATACCTTCTGAAAGTCAGATTAAAACCGCAAACTTCATTGTATTTTCCTGAAATCCCATGACAGACCAACATTAATTAAAGCAAAAGGAGATTTAAAGTAGAAGAAAAACTTTGTATGGATAAAAATCTAATCCACATATCCAACAATAGCTTCACGAAGAACAAAAGTACAGCAGGCAAATCCAGTTTTGGAGATATTTAAATAACATAATCTCCTGAAGCAGTGTGAAATGCTTCAGACATGTGGTAACTAGCAGTTTCACATCTTTGACAAGAATACTTGTCCTCTCCAAACTTCTTACACGACACTAAATCATCCATCTTCACAGCAAGATATAGTAGTGGCAGCATGATGATGTGTGAAAGCCTTTCTTCAGCAGGGGCAGCAGAAATTGGTCAGGTTATATGAAGATGGAAGGAGATGTAAAATGTGAGACTCTGGGGCCAGATGTTCACAACATTCCAAGCATTCAGCAAGAGCTACAGTAAACAGGTTCAGAATGAAGCTTGTGTTAGAATGGTTATCCTGAGCTATCTCTATAGTTATGCTGCTATAGGCTTAGACTGCTGGAGGACATAGGGACCCTAATTTCATCATTCTATCTCTATTCTCTGACTCTGCAGAATCTGCTTTTTCTCATGGTAGCTTCGGCTCGTCTGTTCCTGTTTGGCTGTGACTCCATCCTGGAGAGAAATATCAGCTGTGCTTCTGCCATAAACACCTTTGTATATAGATGTGCAAGATCGGACTGTTTTTCAGTGTAGTCCTGTTTCTCTGACTGTGACTGGCTGGATGTGCTCTCCTCATCCTCTGACATGGGAGCTGGCTCAGAGCTCGTCTGCCTGGCTGTGTGTTTCCTGGAATGGGGTCGCCTTTACAGTTGCTTTTTGTATCTCTGCTTCTGTCTCCTTTATCCCCAGTCGGCCTCAGCAGATTCGAGTCAATGAGTCGATGCAATCAACTGGTTTTCCTTAGATAGAAAACTTTGAATGAATTTGACTGTATGATTTGGTGAACTGTAAAGTGCCTTGAGATGTGTTGTGAATTGGCTCTATAGAAATAAAATGAATTTAACTGAATTGGAACAAAGTCCATTGTTTTTTTTGTTTTGTTTTTACATTTTTGGATGAACTATGGCCTGGATGACTAGGAATCTTCACCAGCATATTCCAACATGGTAAGACCACGCTAGTATATTCCACTTCTTTAGGACAATTTATTTCTGTTTTTAAAGGTACATAGTGACTGTAATAGCAGTCTATTATGTCCTTTTTAAGCCTAAATAGAACTTCAGCACTGTGCGATGGGCAGAAATAAAGAGATGTGGTGCCATCTACTGCCAATACGACAATAGAGGAAGCACTTAAATGGAGGCAGACCATCTTCGCTCAGCTCAGCTTGGTCAAACACTAACGCATATTAATTAAATAAACCGATTTATAGCAAATCTAAGTTCTAGTGAAACCTCTTGAGAGCCTATCAGAACATCAAGGGGGAAAAAATCAGGGTGCTAACAAACACAAACAGGGAAACTGCATGAAGGTAAAAACCAATCACTAAATCAATCTATTATAATGCTATCTATACTTAGACTGTAGAGACTAAACATAGACTGCTGTTGCAATTATCAGTATTAATAAGGACGTTTACTTTTGCATCCATCAACTATGCAGACACATCTGAACGCCTCTGCAGCTTTTAGCTCCTGCTTCATTAAACATCAACGTTCAAACTATATTTCCAGCGCTATTCCAGTCTTGAAATAATAAAAAAAAAAAGTGTGTTTGTTTCACACTGGATCTTTGACTTTTCTTAATTATTTCCATACTTTGCTCAGAGGTGCTAACTGGCTTAGCCACAGTAGGCTACTTCCTTATTTACCCTCTGCAAATGCGAGCAGTATCATACCTCTTTTTTTAATTGTACATGATGATCTTAAAAAAAATGTATATGCAACAAGACAGATTAAATGGCATTTAAATTTTCAAAATCTAAAATAAACAATGCACCTTTAAAGTTCTACCAAAATTATCTTGTTCCAAATGCAACATATATTATCAGCTAACACCCTTCAAAATATATATTTTATAGATACCCATTTAATCACAAGTGGACAACATTTTTAATTGCACGCTGTAAGGTGTAATTAAGATAAATTTAATAAGAAAAATTAATTAATGCCATCCATAATCGTTTTTCTGCAATATTCAGTTATATTCATTCAGAATAAAATACAATGAAGTTTGCGGTTACCACGGAGCGGTAAATGCTTCACTGGCCTTTCATGATAATAACAAAGAGGAAAGCTCATAATTCATGCTGTTGGAGAACCTTCGCCTCTGCATACTTTTATAACCATCTGCTGCTGCACCTAAAAAAAAAAAAAGGCTAAACTTCCCAAAATTTGAAATGTATACAGAAATCATTGTAATTCTCAACAGATTTTAGGATAAAAGGAGCTGAGCAGTGTTTTTTTTTTTTGTTTGTTTGTATGTTGTTTGCCAAGAGGAATAAATAATATGATAAACTCTGCATATTAAGACATCAAATAGCACCGTTTTGGCCCATTACTGGCAGGAACCATCACATTTTTACAGGGCTGATCACTAGAGAATCAGTTTAAGATAGAAGATTAGAAGTGGATTGCTTTTCATATAATCACTTTGTACCAACTTGGCTAAAAAAAAAAATACAGCAGGTTTTGGAACCGGTTACAACACAGGTGAATTAAAAAAAAAAAGTGTCTGCCTACCTGAAATACAGTGATTCACTGGAACAAACGATCAACAAGTCACCAAACTGAAACTAAACACTGCACATAAAATAAATGTTCATTTTATATAAGTTGACACGGGGCCACAGCACAGCCATGGGGAAAAACATTTGATGATGTCAACTGCAAGAATCGTTTGGCCCAAAATCAACAACCACATTGATAAGAGCAAATATCTTGCCCTATTTTGTTTAACAGAGACCAACAGTGAGGGGGAGTCCTCAGGTTTGGATATGAATGCTGGAAATAAGACAAGAAGAACCAACTTTGGCACACTGAATGAGGAGAGCAGTCAGAAAAGAGGGTGCTGTGTCCGGGTGGGGGGGCGGCTCATAGCCCTTTGTTGAAGTAGACCCGCTCCACGCCCGGGTGGCTGGTACGGATTTTCTCCTGCAGCTCTGGTTCCAGGCGGCTGACCGACATGGAGCTGGACGGGAGGAGTTAACACAGTTCAGGTTAAAGTTCTGGGACTGTTATCAGGCCTGAAGTTATAAACTGACTCACCTCTTCTGAGGGAACAACGCGCAGCACAGAGGAGTGGCAAACACCAGGCTGAACAAGAAAAAACAGGCACAATAAATGTGGGTGAACTATCAGAACTGTTGCACAAGTTTTACTCACTGTTGTGCACAATGGTTTTCACTCAGTCATGATAAAGATCGATCTCATTTAGTTAAGTTGATCTCAGTGGGGGATGATTGTCAAACTAGACCCTGTTATGGTCTGATCTGTGGAAAATGCAGGATAGCACTGCCCCAAAGCAGATACATGTGGAGAGACAATGTTGTGCTAAACAGGTCATGAAGACAGCAGGACATCTTTTCCTATTTGAAAGGGCTCCTCTCACCCAGCAGCAACTGGACCAGAGGACTGACCTCTGAAAAATGCTCTTCATGTGATCCATGTCATGGGATTCACATGAGCGGCGTGTCCCAAAGCCATTAAAGACCCGCCTGAGGAGGGGGACGAACTCAGCAGAAATCTCTGCAGAGAGAAATCTCTTTAAAGTTTCATGTAGCTTTGCCCAGCAAGTAGATTTACCATTTATTTACATATCAGGTCTTAATATGATGATTTGGTCTAAAAGGTTCAAAGGATTCATATAAAATATAGTGTGATTTTTCTATTTCACTTTTTCTTCTTCCACAGGATTAAAAAGGCAAACTAGCTTAACTGATCATCATTTTAATCGATTAATCAGTTTCAGACAGAAACCATAACTCACGATAGAAAACCATTTGGATCCCTGATTAGCTGTAACAGCAGACTTCTTTATTTTCGATGTAAACAATACAGAAAAAATATTGACCATTTAGCTTTTATAAATATAAAATATAATATCACACAGATGTCACCATGTTTAGACTACAATGCATTCTGCATAAATGGTCCTAGCTTTTGCCCAGAAAAAACAGCAATGAGTAACATTAATCCTTTTCAGTTTTAACCAGAGCGCTTTGATGATTTAGAAAATGCAAGATATGAAGAGGAGAACCAGTTGGAGCAAGAGGGGAGATATCCGAAGAGGCTGGGGTTTCTGCAGCTGCTGCTAGGAGATGCTAACCCTGATTAGGGGTGTAAATCACACCCATCATGGCGATTCGATTCAGTATCAATTTCCTGACCCAACGAATTAATCATTTTTTGATACTCAATACACCACGATACGATTTTTTTCTTTTTTTACATTACTGGCTAGACAATGTTGCTAATTTGAAATAAATCAATGCAAGCTGTAATATCGTTATGCATTTTATTTGAGAAACAACAGCAAATTCCAGAAGTAGCAAAGTTGTACTGCACCTAGGCCTATAAAAACCTCATCAACTGTAATTCATTATCTTCTGATTTACTTTTGATTTCTATTTGCATTAGCTAATATTGTAAACAGTAGATCGCCGGCCGATCACATTTGTTCATTTCAACAGGTGTCCCATATATAACAGGTTGTGAAAACTGAGGCAGGGATGCAGTGTGGCACTGTCTGTATTGACACTAGTCAAACAAAAATACTAAATTAAAATATAAGACAACTCTGATCATGTTAGCCTTCCTGTGTTTAGCTACTCAGTAGCGTCCAGTAAAACCTAACCACGTCATCAACCTAGCATGAAAAATTTATATCCTGGTGAAAAATATAACAAAGGACATTTTTTTTACATTTTTTGAGTTTTTACAGTACTAGTAGCTCGTTTTTTTTTTTTTTTTGACAGTAGGCTGACAGTATGAGACGGTATGAGAGAGACATGCAACAAAGGACTACAGGTCGTATTCAAACCCGGGTCGGCCGCGTCAAGGACTGAGGCCCCCATAAATGGGTTGTGCGTTCTAACCACTGCGCTATAGTTGGGAATTTATCAAATTTTCCCGATTCCGATTCCCTTATCGATTCTGTGAAACGATTTGATTCTCTTATCGATTCTCGTCACAGTCATCTAAATCTAATGGAGAAGGCATCCGTTTAATCAAAAAGCATTACTGTACAATTTCGGAAAATAAACTCATCTCCCCCTGATTTAAATACACGAGCTTCACCTTTCTCTCGCTCCTTAAACTGCGGAGCAACTTCTAGCACATTTTGTTACATCCTTGCAATAGCTAGAATCATGTAACAATTCCAGCTACCAGTAGTTCTAACTAAACATGCTAGCAAAGACGGGCTGGATTAACGAGAAAGAAACACTCCCTTAATTACTACCAAAGAGAGGTAGGAAACTGGTTTATTTCCAGAAACGGCATATGATTTACTAGGAACCACTTTAAGCACAGCCACTGATATAAAACTAGCTACTTACCACCAGAGTTGCCTTCCATGCTGGTTGTAATTTTAGCTTCAGTCCGGAAGCATCGAAAACATGGCATTTGTTAAAATGTCTGCCATGTTGTATGCGTAATGTGTTTCTGCATGTTGGATGTATTTCCTCCCGCTGATGTAATTGCCACTTTGCATTGATTGCAAAGCGCCTTGTTGCCATCTTTCTCTTCCTTAAAATGAAGCCAAACTTTCGATCACTTTATCCGATGTGACGCCATTTTTGATTTTTTTTATTTTGCTTTTCTAGACACGTCGTACTTGCTTACTGAATGCCGTGTGCGTAACTTGCTTAAAAAAATGGGACGTAAATCGTGCTGCCCAGAGTGGCTCTGGTGCTTCCTGGAACCGTTAAGAGAATCGTTAAGCGAGCTGGCAAACCGTGCCATGGAATTGGAACAGAACCGGTTCTGAACAGGAACCAGTTTTCGATTTCCATCCCTACACTGCGCAAACCATTGCGCAACTGAAGCACAACCAAGTAATTATGAGTTCTACATATCAAAAAGAGTCTTTTTTTTAAGTTAATAGGAAAAATATGACATATTAAAGCCAACAAGTTCTACTGGTCATGAATCCCTTTAAGACAACTGCAAATCTCCCCAAGAGAGGAAATCTAATGAACCCCTCCCCCAACCTCCCCCAGGTCTGGATCGGTCATTTCTCCAAGAGATTTCAAGCATCCAGGATCTCCATTTCAGACTATATGGGTCTCAGTTAGCATGGCACTTGTTAGGATTACAGTACAACTAGAAACAGAGAAGGGAGATATAGTTGATTTGGAAGGGTCACACTTCCAAAGTGTCTTTCACAAACATGGCAACAACTTTTGCAAACCATAATGAGAATGATTGGCCTTTGAACAAGTGAAACTCATCAAACAACACTGGAAAAATGGTCTAGGAATAAGTAAAAATGTCTTAAATTAAGTGTATTTACCCTCAATTTGAGTAGGTAAATGAGGGAGTTTGAAAAAGGAATGATTATTTTTACTCTTAAAATAAGATAATTAGATGACATGTACCTGAAATAAGACAATGCATTCGCGTTTTCTTATTTTAAGTGTAAATTGTCTTGTTCCATTGGTAAAATGTCTCTTTTACCTCCTCAATCCAAGAACAAATGCACTTATTTTAAGAAAAAAAAATGACTTATCTAGATTTCGGTTTTTTTCCAGAACAGGTCTGAGCCAACTATGAAGCATGGTTATGATAATCAGTTTAATTCAATGCAGCTAAAGCTCTTAAAGCTGCTAAACTGTGTATTTAGCTGTTCACCTAAAAGTGGTTTAGCTTAATTTTTGTCTTTAAGAAATAAAAATATCAATATCTGTTTGTTTCCACTTTTATGTCCTGTAAAATCCAACCTCACGCTTAAAATAAGGTTTGCTTCCTTTACACCGTGACGGTGTTATAGTGCAGTGAGTGCTGCCAATGCCTGTGGTGTTATCTGAAGAATCTCTGCAGTTGGTTTCAAATCGCCACGCAGTGAAACACTGATGAGATGTTGGCATGAATGACCATTAGGAAGAGGAAAAATATCTGCAAGCCAGATATTACATCTTATGGCAGATCATTTATCTAAGCGCATTTCGTCCAACCTGCTTTACTGTAACCTGAATGTCTCAGTTTACTGCTCCAATAATGGGATTACTGCGATCAAATGTCACTGCCGTGAGAAATTAGACTGAAATCGGAGAGAGTGTTCTCATGAGAGCTTATCAGGTGGGCCATCTCCGACCACTCACCAGAATCCCACCAGGCTGACTTGAATGGGTGCGCTCATCCATGGGAATCTCTGAAAAGACAAATCAGAAAAATGACAGAGGCACACAAAGGCAGCGGGGAACTCCCATACAAGGACAGGCTCAGCTCTTTTCAATCGTCTGACGGCTCGCTGCTGAAAGGGAGCCGACTTCGTCTCACTGTTCAGCCTAAAGGGAGCGCCGGCGTTTGTCTTTAAGAGAGCAAAATGCTTACCTTCAGAAAAGCCTTCTTTTCCAGGTGGTTCATTAAAAATGGAGGGATAGCTGAAAATGCAGTTAGTTAAACTGTTAATAAAACAATCTAATAAACGGATGATTTTAAGTAGAGAAATGAAATGTTGGTACCCATCCCAGGAGAAGCCATGAGGATCCGAGAGACGACGACCTGAGAGATGGCCTGCTGAGCAGCTTTGGTTGACTCGCCTAACCTGTTGTCATTTTCGTCTGTTATGGGAATGCCATGTTGAAGCTCTCTGGAGACAAATCAACCAATCAAACTTTATTTCCTTTTTATTAAGAGTTGTGAAACATGCTGCAAAAACAAATATAGAAATAAGTAAAAATGTCTTAAATTAAGTGTATTCACCCTTAATTTCAGTAGGTAAATGAGGTAGTTTGCCAATGGAATGAGAAATTTTACTCTTAAAATAAGATAATAAGATAATATGCACTTGAAATAAATCAATGCAATTGTATTTTCTTATTTTAAGTGTAAATTGTCTTGTTCCATTGGCAAAATGACTCTTTCACCTCCTCAATTCAAGAACAGATGCACTTATTTAAAAAAAAAAAAAGACTTAACTAGATTTAAATATATATGGAATATAGTTTCTAGTAACTGATTAATAGTCTGTGATGTTCTGGTTATAAATCAGAGCTGAAAGGAGAGGGAGAGAAAAATGGCTCCAACGCTTTCTGTCAGAAATCTGCAGTAAAAAGAGGTATTTTGTGATCACCAACTATAACTAAAGTTATATCCAATAAATAAGAAAAATGCATTTGTTTCAATAACTCAATTCACAATGTGAAACATGATTAACGGCACAAAAGATTTGTACTTTCAGTCCCTCATTTCTGTTAACGATGAAGATTTTCTGTTTACAGCTCATGAAATGAGCTTTTTAAAAAACACATTTTAAGCAGGGGTTTCCATATACAATTTTTTTTTCTTCGCAATACGATACCGATATTGCAGCTTTGAGACTTTACCAATATTGATATTGACCAGATACAATATTAACATGAATCAAATGTCCTTTTATTACTCATTCTGTACTGTAGAATGTTAGAAAAGGTTTAATCAAGTTATATTTACAAAACACAAGTTATGTGAAAAAGTGATCCACATTAAATAGAAGCAGAGCGTTTCTATCAGTTTGTCAATATCTGAGATTTTTTGGGCCGATATCATTAGATATTAGTACCGGATCGGCACAACCTACTTTTAATCCTTTATGGGGCAAGTTACAGTTTTTAATCACTTGCATACCCCTTACAAAAGGAGTCCCCCATGCCCCTCGGTGAGGTCTAGAAGCACAAGATCTATATCCAGCCATTCAGCGAAGATGCTCTTACATGGCTGTACATCTTATTTTGGCGTCTGACCAATTAGATGAGCCCTTGACTGACATATTACCTGCTGTAAATTAAATTGTAAAAAAGTTAATAAGTCGAAAAAGGTGAAAAGCTAATTGAAAAGTTAAAAAGTAAAGTTAAAAAACTTAAAAAGGCCTAGTTAACAATTATATTTAGGTTTATAAACTAAAAAATATAAGTGCCAGTATCAGAATTAATGCCTCTAAGGTTATGTTGTACCAAAAAATGTGTTTCTTTCACTCTCAGAATTCCTTATAGTTATTTTTCTTAATATATTCAGGCAAGTTGGTATTTCTTGTTATTACATTGACGTTAATGTTTGCCATCAAAATATACCTTTTTTTAATGTTACAAATGTAATAAGGTCTTTTTCTGGATTCCAATAACACTTTTGGCCTGAAATTTTGATTTTCAAAGAAGTTCACTGAGTGCCCTATAAAGGGTTAAGCTGACAAAGGATTCTCATCAAAAGCATTTTCAAATTTATTCAATATGACTGTATTTTTCCGTTTCTTTATGTAAGTATCTAA